GAAATGAGGGAGAACAGCCTCAGTTTTAGAACTGAGCGAACCACGAGCTAAATCAAGATCACCTGGAAACACGATCGAGTCGCAGAGGTGTTAAGAAGTACCTTTGTTTTTGTTTTTTTCCTCGGGTCGTAGGCAAGTGGAGCGACCTGGTTGTCTAGTTGGTGGAGACAAACTTTATGCACAGTTTTAAGTATGTGAGAGGCACCTCAAGCCGCCAGAAAGCGGTAGTGACAGCCCAAGAAATTTAGATGAAAAAAACAAAAGTCAAGACTCGACCCCCTAAAAGCAAACTAAGGAAATAATGCGCACATACGCACGCACGCACGCACACACACACACACACACACACACACAATACAAACACAAAATGTACGTTCAAGAATCTTCCTTAAACGTCTTGAAATGTTTTTCGTATCAAAACTCAGTGAAGATGACGGTGGATTGTATTACATAGAGAGAGAGAGAGAGAGAGAGAGAGAGAGGTTCAGCATAATCTCTTGCTCTCAACTTCTCCTAAGGTGAGACACAAAGTCCTCACCAAGTTCTCTCTTTCCTACCAAAATTTTCCTTTTCACTGACTTCTTGCCATAATTTTCCTTCCCACAAGTTTCCTCCGTCATCAAATTATCTAAAATGCCTCGTTTTTTCCCCCTCCCATTTATGATCGTCTCTTTTCTGATGGTTTTATTCTTCTGGGGAGTTTGTCTTACTTGCCCAAGCAATTTGGAATAAAAACTGATTCCGACTTCCTCCCTCTCTCTCTCTCTCTCTCTCTCCTCTCTCTCTCTCTCTCTCTCTCTCTCAACTTTGGAGGCATCTGTCAATTGCTGATGCCTAGTTAGTCTGCTGTTCAGCCTATATTCAGTAATTTTCGTATCCCTGATATTTTAAAAACGGCTTACGAAAACGCAAATAGGAGATTGAATGACTGGTATATACATGCTGATGACTGATAAAACGATAACTACTGCGATGTTCCTCAAAGGATATCACATAATAAGAAAAGCGGGGAGGAATGGGAAATAAAGTGAAAAATTTACAGAGCAATTTGAACAACGAAATCATTAACCTCTTAACACTAGAAGGATCAACACATCTACATACATCAACACATCTATACGCATCAACACATCTATACACATCAAAACATCCATACACATCAACGCTTGCAAGTTATTCCAGCCATTGAAGGATGATGGGAATCGGGTCAACAACTTTGGTCGTAGGACACGCCAATTATTCCAAGAATTTGTTCTCGTTACCCTACACAGCCTTGGAAATTGAAATCCGATTGGATGAGGCGTTCTTGATTAATGAGTGTAATAGAAAGGAAAATTTAGAGGAAAAAAAAATTCGGGCAACTCTGAAAGGCCCCCCTCTCTTCGGGAACTAATAATAATAATAATAGTAATATAATAAGCATAATAATCACTTGATCATAATTATCATAATAAGCATAATTATAGTAAACAGGTTAATCATAATAATAATAAACAGGAAAGGTAGTAAGAGTGGTCTACAATCGTCTACGTAACACAAGACGACGTAGCGAGGAGCAGAACACAACAGCACAGATCACGGAAGGAATCAACACTGAGAGAAAACACTAGTTAAATACACTGATGGATCTAAGAAGTCTGCTGGCAAGGCTGCATCTGCTCTTGTTGCCACCTTCCTAGTTAAGAACGACAGGAACTTTGTTGAGTTAGGGGTAAGAATTGACAACTGGGCATCTATGCTGCTAACTGAATTAATTCACGGTACGGGTGAGGCTCGAACTCATGGCAAACGAGTCGTAAAACTAGTAAGCTAGTGGCTTACGCAGTGGCCTGGAGTTTTACGACTCACTTGCCGCGAGTTCGATCCCTACCCTTACTGTGGTTTGTTTGCAAACGTGTTATTACGATTTCGTGAGTCAGACTGAATTATTTACCATCCTAATGGAGACAAAGCTAATTTATGACACAGAGCTTGATTCCATAATTATTACTGATTCTGTGTCATCACTGAAGGCTCTTGACTCACATGACTCCAATAACATGCTCATTGGAGTAGCCAGGTATAGAATCGAAAAAATCCGGGAAAAGAGAATTAACATACAGTTGTTATGGATCTCATCACACTGGAATATTCCTTCATGATAAAGTTGATATGTTAGCCAAGAAAAGTAACCTGAAGGAGAATATAGAATATAACTTCGGTGTATCTGTGTTTAGCATCAGAAATAATATTAGGAGAGAAGTAAATAATGAAACAATGTTTTATGAATGTAATTAGAAGCCTGAGTAGATCTATAACCCACCATGATAACATGAACGTAGATTAGTACGTTTATAGAGTAACTTGCACTGTGAACAGACTGACTTACGTTGTAGTGGCCAGGCTTAGGCTTGGTTACAAGTATACTTCTGGCAGTATGGCAGACACACAGATGATGATCAAACCAAACGCTAAGTATGTGGTCAGCTCTATGGTCACTATTTTAAACACTGGAATGTAGATGAATGGTTCAGAGAACCGACAAGTTGATTGTTGCACGTATGTCTAATTGGTGATCTTGAACACTGTGTGCTTAACTGCCCACTTAATTGAGGAATACAGAGATAGTGATATGTCAAGATATTTTAATGAAAATAAGATACCAGATATAATAAGCAAATTTCCTAAATATGCTTGTAACAGATAAGTGAACTGTAGATGTAAATCCAGATGTACTCGTGCTAACACTTTTTGGGGCCTAGTTCCTAGGCCCTTTGTGTATCTATATGCTCTTGCGCTACCTTCCACAGGATGGATATGGGGTGCACAATAAAATAACCACTTGGGTGGCAAAATCCAAATCTAATCTGCTGATCATGAAACACTTTAATCACCTTGCCTTATCTCGTGCACTACACAACTGCAGTGAAGCGGTGTATTCTCCACACTGCCTCTCCTTCACCTACACCGTCGCTGGTATGCGGCATCGATATGCGGTGGGGGGAAATAGTGTCCTATATATATTTTTTTTTCCAGAATGTGTGACATTAAGGGAGGGAAGGTGTGCGATATGACCTGCACCAACTGCCGACTTCATCTGACGAGTGGCTACTAAAACTCAACTGCAAATGAAAGGTTTTGAAAGAAAATAAAACGTGGGTAAACTCCGGGTTTTACAATGTATTTCGTCACTTGTTTCACCGCTTCTCCTCCGGCCATCCTCTCCCCTCACCCCCCCTCTCCCTCCCTCTCCTTTATCATGTGTTTTATCACAAGTATCACGTTTTTTTCAGTCATATCTTACTACTTTTTTTTTTTATTTTTACGTTTCGTCAAATTCTGTAAAAACTTGCATTATATTCCTGCAGATTTTCTGGTTTCCGACACACACACACACACACACACACAATATATATATATATATATATATATATATATATATATATATATATATATTATAATATATATATATATATATATATATATATAATATATAATATATATGTCGTGGGGAATAGGTAAAATTGGTCAATTAACAAGAACTCATTTAAAATTAAGTCCTTTTTAAAATTTTCTCTTATACGTTTAAGGATATATTTTTTTCATTTATGTTAATGTAAAAATTAATAATTTTGTACCAAAATAACCTTAGAAAACTTACCTAACATTATTATAAAAAACGCAATTTTGTTTAGCCTAATCCAACTAAATATATTTTAGATAAGTTTACAATAATTTAATAATAAACGAACACAATGAAATATATGTTTTTTGTTAGGTTCAGAATGTTTTTTGCAAAATTACTGCACACACAAATTTTCGCTTGCCTTATTCGGCAAGAAGAGTGTTTCTATTTAAGCCAAAATCGCAAATTTTATCTATTCGGCACGACATAAATATATATATATATATATATATATATATATATATATATATATATATATATATATATATATATAATTTATCGCATGCATGCGTCCATCATTCAGTTTGATAAGGGTTGTGTCTGGCCTTGGAATATAGTGTTCCTTCTCTTGGATTTTAACAGCTGCTTCTGCGAGTTCCTCTTTTAGTGTACTGGGATGATTAATACCCTGAGGTCAACCCCGCAGCTCAGGCAGATCGCTAATTACCCCATTAACCGTAATTACATAGGTAGGAATCGAGGTTGCTTATTGATCGCCTGCTCGGGGCCCTTGGTCTCATTGACCGGGAATCTTGGCCTCGTTGACCGGGAACCTTGGCCTCGTTGACCGGGAACCTTGGCCTCGTTGACCGAAAACCTTGGCCTCGTTGACCGAAAACCTTGGCCTCGTTGACCGAAAACCTTGGCCTCGTTGACCGGGAATCTTGGTCTCGTTAATCGGAAACCTTGGTGTCATTGACCCGGAGCCTTCGATCTCGTTGATTGTGATCCTTGGTCTCACTGATTGTGAACCTTGGTTTCGTTGACCGTGAACCTTGGTCTCGTTGACCGGACCCAGACGTTGTCTGGGTGATGGTCGTGATATACGGGTGCTTGCAGTAAATGCTGCTTAATTAGGTAATGACCTGAAATTACCCAACAGTAAAGGGGAGGGAGAGGAGGGGAGGAGGGAGGGAAAGAATGAGTGAGGAGGGAGGGAAAGAATGAGTGAGAAAGAGGAAGAGTGAGAGAATGGGTGGAGTTAGATGAGGAAGAGGGTGAAGAGGTGTATAAAGATTTTCTACAAGGTGATGGTGGGGCTGGAACTGATGGGTTAGGCTGGCACTGGTAGGTGGGGCTGGCACTGGTAGGTGGGGCTGGCACTGGTGGTGGGCTGGCACTGGTAGGTGGGGCTGGCACTGATGGGTGGGGCTGGCACTGGTGGTGTTGGCACTGGTGGTGGGATGACACTGGTGGGTGGACTGATACTGGTGGGTGGGGCTGACACTGATGGGTGGGGCTGGCACTGGTGGCGGGTGGACTGACACTGATGGGTAGGGCTGGCACTGGTGAGTGAGGCTGGCACAAACACTATACCAGACTCAACACATCTCACACTGTACGCTTCTCGTAGCACCTCTAGATTCTCTCGGAACATTTCCACAAGATGTCTTCACGATCGTCCATAAGTACAGCTTCACAGTGTTACTGCACTTGTACATCCTCCCGTTATTCACTTATTTCCTGTTAACAAACGAGAAACTCATTGCCCACTCCCAGTCTGTGGGAAATTTCGATGGTTTTAAACATTCCTCATCTCTCGTTTTAGAAGCGATTTTCGTTATTTAAAATGTCTCACTTTCGTATGTAGATTATATGATCTTATAGAGGTATATATTTTATATAATGTGAGGGTAATAACTAAGGTAATCGTGTGCTTTGCTGTTTTTTCATGGTGTAAGTTTTCATGGTGTAAGTTTTCATGGTGTAAGCTTTCATGGTGTAAGTTTTCATGGTGTAAGCGTAAGTTTTCATGGTGTAAGCATAAGCTTTCATGGTGTAAGTGTAAGTTTTCATGGTGTAAGTTTTCATGGTGTAAGCGTAAGTTTTCATGGTGTAAGCATAAGTTTTCATGGTGTAAGTGTAAGTTTTCATGGTGTAAGTTTTCATGGTGTAAGCTTTCATGGTGTAAGCATAAGTTTTCATGGTGTAAGTGTAAGTTTTCATGGTGTAAGTTTTCATGGTGTAAGCGTAAGTTTTCATGGTGTAAGTGTAAGTGTTCATGGTGTAAGTATAAGTGTTCATGGTGTAAGTGGTAGCTAGGGGTGTACCACAGTAGTCATCAGTGTCGGCTAATTTTGATGGTATGAATATCGGCCTAAAATTAACAAGGTTAAGTCAGGTAAGGTTTGTGGGGCAACAAGACAAGTAACTATCGTACCATCAGCAGTGCTAACCACAACAGCCAGACTCCACTGAGGTTGGATATTCTGCAAAAAGCATTTACACTATTTTATTTACATGATTTGTATTCAGTTGCATACGGTATCAGTCGCGATGTTTTTTTTTTGTTCATTTTGAATGTGTGAGTAACAGATCTATGCATTTATCGGAAAGTGGAAATTTTTACGTTTTCTTGACCTCGTTGAACTTTTTTTTTTTTTTACTGGGAACAATTTCTGCAGCTTATCACACTTTGCTTTTTATTGTGGTAACACGTTCTTTTCTAGTCTGGTTACGGTTTATAATTTAACTGGATTTAGTTTGAAAATTGTCGACAGGTAGGGATGGAGGGTTGACGTAGGGTGGTGGTGGTTGTGGATGGGTAGTAGTGGCTGTGGGGATTGGGGATGGTGATGGTGGTGGGGGTGATGGTGGTGGGGGTGATGGTGGTGGGGGTGATGGTGGTGGGGGTGATGGTAGTGGGGGTGATAGTGATTGTGGTGGTGACGGTGGTGGTGGTCTTGCAAATGGGCCGCCCTGAGGCTGTGTGTGACCTCTGATCATCCCTCCTCTGACGCACCAGTGTTAGTGATATGTCTGAGTGTCATTCCAGATTTCCACATGTGTTTTTGTTCACAGTTATATTAGTTGGGTTTTGCTTTCACTGTTGGGCCGCGAATTAAATTCTGCCAAAGTAAAGCGAGTGTGCAACATGTAATTAGCGACTCCGTAGCCAGCAGTGTGCCTTCTGGCACTGTCTTATCCAGACGTATTAAGCAAATATCCTAAAATTGCTTGCAAGAGATAGGACAATCTTAGATATAAATCTAGATGTACTCCTGTTAATAGTGTTACACTTTTGTAAAGTGTAACACTGTTGTGTTACACTTTATAGATGCATTAGTGCTTTTCCATCGCTGTAACTATCGATTTCTGGAGAAAATTCAGTCTTGGCACAGATCAAGCATGGCGCCACTGTGAGGGTGATGGGGGTGATTCTGTGGATGGGGTAATGGTATGGGGAGGGGGTATAGTTGGGCGAGCACCTTGTCAGGTTACGCTCACTCTTACCTCCCTCGCTGTGATTTATTGGTTAATTCAGGCAGGTTGTGGGCCTCGGGTGAGCGCTGCTGGACTAACTATACGCGGGGACACACGCCATGTTTACCCTCGTAATTGATGTGTTTTATTCTTGACCTTCCTTTCAGCGCCTTCTCTCCTCTCCTCTCACTCCCTTCCTTCCTTCCTTTCCCTCCCCAGTCCTTCCCTTCCTTCTTCCCTACACTGTCCTCCTCTTCCCTCCCCTGGTCTTCCCTTTACGTATTTCCTTCCCTACATCAACGGAATGAATTACAGGAGGACGTAGCAAGTACTTCACCCATTGTAAATATATATATATAATATATATATATATATATATATATATATATATATATATATATAATATATAATATATATATATTTGAAGACAGGACACTACGAGCATAAATAACCTGTGACTGAATTCGAGGGTTCTACTCACGCAGTCTAGCCTGTTGACTGCCTAAGTGTCCACAGGTCTGCATAGCCATCAGGAGATATTAGCCAAGTTTTACCTTGAAAACTAACTTGGTCCCAGCAACATTTCTGACATGTACTGGCAGCAGTATCTTATGAATAATATACAATATCGACCTTTTCAGTAACACACTTGTGCAACACCAGAAATCTTCAGTGACGATACGTTCATTCAATATTCTTTGTGTTGCACATGTTTCTTACTGCTGGTAGTAGGTTGACAAATCCGGGACCACGGATGTTGACACAGTGTTCTCTGTGACTGTGGAACTCCTGCTCTTCAATGGTATTATTCTACAATTTCTTACACGACTTTCACTTCAATTTTTTTTTATGACAGCGTGCAGATTGGAGATCATACACTCCAGTATATTTCATACATTTATTATCAGGCCTCTTACGCTTCGTTCCCAGTAGTTAACATGTCTTGACACGATGCAGTACGCGACCTCTGTACATTTTCCTAATTTGCTGTTTCTCTCTCCTTGAAGGCCACTGTGAGTACAGTATAATATTAGTGTTTAACGGTGCCATTGATTTCAGCAGTGTCAGCACTGACATGACTGCTCGTGTTTCGAAGATTCTTATAAACCAGCCTTGTTTTTTTCAGGCCTTTGTCACATTCTCCACACTGTATTCTTCATGTGATAAATCGCCTGACATGATTATTTCAATGTCTGTTAACGTGTTATTTCCGTCATACGAGATGGCCTGGCTGTAGTCTGTGTTTGTTTCCAGGTCTTTGTTCTTCCCCAGTCTAAGCTGCTCATATTTGTCTCCAGTGAAAATCATGTTATTTTCAATAGCCCATCAGAAAATTTTGTTTTTTTCTTTTTTGACAAGACTTTCATACATATTTAAGTATCGCCAGCAAAGCTGTGACTGGTGTTTTTATCTATATCTGGTATGAGGATGGTAAAACGTGAGTTGCAAAGGACGGTTCCTTGGGGTATTGAACGTTTGACTCGACTGAGACCGGACTTTTCTTTACTATCACTCTGTATTTTGTGTGCTAGAAATTGAAATATCCATTTCTCCACACACAAATAAATGGTTCAAGTCGGACCGAAACGTCGTCGAAAGCTTCTCTCTATGTGCGGGTTATTTGTCTATTGTTCCAGTCACGGTATTGTGTGAGGAAATGGTATGGTGATACCGACAAGATGTGGAAAAAGACACTTATGTACAGTTCAGGACATTTATTAAAGGAAACGTTTCGCCACGAGTGGCGAAACGTTTCCTTTAATAAATGTCCTGAACTGTACATAAGTGTCTTTTTCCACGGTATTGTGTCTTTTCGTTCATGATCCATCTCTCTACTTTTTCCTGTTATACCTTACTGACCTCATTTTATGGGGTTTTCTACCCATGGTTATATGTTCTTAACTTCTCTAGTGGTTCCTAATGCGGTGTTCTCGGTAGCTCAACGCTCGTCGGGTAACACTGGAATTCACCGTCTCTACAGCAGCTTCCAAATACCCATCCTTCCTCTCGATTTGGAGCTCCGTTCCAAATACCTTTCCAGTATCCGTATACATCACATCAACATTTTGTTTTACTTATGAAGCCTCGTTGATTTTCCCATAAGGATCTAATAATTGTGAGTCATGATTTTCCTGCTCAGTATCCAATGTTGATTGAGGTTGTGTTGATAATGCTTACCCATAAAGTCTAAGTTGACACCTAAGTATCTTTTCGAAGGTGTTAGTTTGACTTGTCTTGTTATCGCTCTGCCGCCTTATGGAGAGATGCTATGTCTGCACTTTTTCAAGCTTCTGTGATTTTTCCTGAATCTAAGCTCCACTTCCAAAGGCGGAAAAGTACATGTGCTAATGGCACTTTTGCGCTGTCTCAGTGAATAATGAATTCTGGGAACCAGGCTCAGGTGCCGAGTATATGAAAAAAGTATTTGGGTGTTCAATTACCATGGTGTCAACAGAATAATTGAACATCGAACCTTTCTCTGAGTCATTCAAGATCTCGCTTATTTCTTTGTCGTTTGTGCACGACTATTCCTGTTCCACCGTGTAACAGATGGGCCATTCTGAGAAATGGTAATTCTTAAGTAATAATAACCTCAGCACTGATGAAAGTAAACTTTTCAAGCTGCCTTAGCTAATGAACTCATATTCAAATGTCTGAAGATGTACATCGTCCCGCTGAAGTGTTCCCAGCGCAGGATGACAGGTTTCAACACCTTGTAAATACAACTTATCCTACGTATGTCACAAAAGAAGTGTAGCAGTAAACTAGTAAGGTATCAAAGAGTATTAATAAAGACAGCGAAACATCCATTTGACACAATAACTTCCCACCATATATTCGTTCTCTCCTCCCTCCCTCCCTCTCCCTCTCTCTTTCTCTGCTCATTCTCATTGTTCTCTCTATATTAAAATCTCTTTCCTACATCCAAGGTTAATCGTACCTCCGTCTCTGCAGTACATTCTGAAGGCGAGACTTAACATTGTCAGTGAAAGGAAAAAAAATAAGGTCATATTTTAGGAGACTTGAGAGTCAAGACTTCAGTGAACTGCATCTTGGAGAAGTGGTGAACCACAACCTCAGAGCAGACCACCCGATTCCAGCTACTAGTTCAAACAACTTGCAAAATGTGTAAGTGATTATACTGTAAATTATATATATAATATATATATATATATATATATATATATATATATATATATATATATATATATATATATATATATATATATATATTAATTTAACAAGTCGGCCGTCTCCCACCGAGGCAGGGTGACCCAAAAAGAAAGTCCCCAAAAA